AAATAATAAATAATATAATTTGAAATTGTGTATATTGATATGGAATACATATTGATATACTGCATACATATTAACCGTAGAACTACTACTACTAGATATTTATGTATACCCCAAGTAAACTTAAATTAAATGAAGATATGATCGTTTTTCAATACTTTAATTTATTTCAATCAATTTTTCACCGATTAAACTTTAATAAAAATGAATTTGCTCATCACCATTCTCTTTGGCATGAAAAAACAAAAAAAAATTCATTTTTATATTCACAATATCGATGGTATAACATTGATCATTTATTTCAATATAATTTTCTTTTTCTTTATTCCCTATATATATTTCTTTCTCACTCTCTTATTATACTGTATACAATTTATCATTAATTATTACGATTCGATAATAAGAAAGTAATCGTGTGAAAATGATATTAAAAAAGAAAGAAAGAAAGACAAAAAGGGAGAGATAAAATTAAAGATAAATCGAAAAGCATAAAATAACGTAATGTTTGAATGATAATTCGATTTTAATCCGAAATCTACAGACAATACTTTCTTCCCCATTTTCCCCCATTCAATGCTGAATATTATTATCACCGAGAAGATAATTAAGGATGCATGGTTGAAACGAGAAAACAAAAAAAAAATAAAAATAAAAAGAAGAAGAAGAAAAAAGGAGAGAGGGTGGAAGGGAGGAAGAAAAGGGTGGGGGGAGGGGGTCAGGGGGGACCACAAATGCGAATAAATAAAATTCCACCGTGATTTTTCTACGAATCTTTCCATTCTCGTGGTCTTCTTCCAGCAACCAACCCTCCCTGCTCCCTCCCACCCTTACCCTACCCTACCCTACCCCCTTTCGTCCACATCAAGTTCTTGCCGAGTTCGGTTGGATATTCAATATCCATCTTACAAATCGAGATGGACCTTGGATTTGCCATCTTCAAACAGGAATTCGCTTTGGTCGTACCGAGGAAGAGATTTCAGAATTTCAAGTAGTCGATTCGAGAAAATCGACGTCTAGAAACGATAAAAGCATCTTCCAAGATGGGTTGAAGGATTGGGAAAGGACGAGGAGGAGGAGGAGGGTGGGCGGTGGGTGGGGGAGGGTCGGGGAAATAAAAACGAGAGAGTGAAAGTAAAAATAATAATAAAAAGAGCAAGAAAGAAAGAAAAAAAAAATGAAAAAAGGGACATTGTCCTCTTTGAATCTTTATTCATTCTTAGAGAAATGAAGTAGGTATCACTTAAGTGCTATAATAATAATAATAATAATAATAATAATAATAATAAAAGGACAATTACCTTTTTCTTCTCTTTTCTTTTCTTATCTTATCTTATCTTATCTTTTCTATTCTATTCTATTCCTTTCATGATAGAAATGGGGGAGAGGAGGAGGAGGGAGGGGGGAGAGAAAAAAAAAGAAGAATCCTTAGAAAAGAAAATGAGGAGAAATAGTTCTTACTGTTATCTTCTTTTATCTCGATTAAAGCCAATAGCGTTGCAAGGATTCTCGCATAAATTAAAAGGGACGGTAGCTGGTAAAACGTTTACGGTGCATCGGTTTTTCTCTTCGGTATAATAAATTCAAAGTGTTCGTTCGTTCGTTCGTTCGTTCATTCGCTTTCGCCATTCCTGAGATACAAACTTTCAAATACGGAGTAATAGTAAGAGAGAAAACGGGTGGGTGGGAGGTGAGGAGGGGGGGGTGGTAGGGGTTCCTAACGTTGGAAAATGTAATTCTTATCGCAAAGATGCATTCAACTGTGGAAGAAGAAACGAATTCGTGGAGGCCGTAGAAAAGCGTGGAGAGTAATAGTATGTTTATCAGAAACTTAATTTTAAAGTGTTTTCCTTAAGACATAGAAGAAGAAAAAAGAAAAATTCCTAATTTTAATTTGGCAAATGTTACGTTTAATACTCGACGACACGAAAATCTATTACGTTTTATCTATCCGTTAGATCGAATAGTATTATTCTACAATTCTCCTCCTCCTCCTCCTTCTTGTTCTCTTTAATCGTTGCAATTGATTTTATGTACTTCGTAACATTTTCCAATGTCTAACAAAAACAAAAATAAATAATATGAAATAAATAACAGAGTTATATTATTTTACAAGAACGAGATATGGCAGATTACGTTATGGGTTTTATTTCCTCGTACTAGTCAATTGAATGTCCTGTGTCATTAAGGAAACAAACGGGGATTGGATACAATAAAAAAAATATACCATTTACCAATTCTAGAAATTGCCAATACCAACAGTGATTTGCTATTTCTCGGACTTGTAGTTTGGTTATACGATATTTTATGCAATTCTTGACAAGAAAAAGTTAAACACATAAATCGTAGTATCTTTATTATAATTATTATTGTGTGTGTGTATATATATATAATTAATATTTAAAAATAATATATTATATTTAATAATGTTCGTTAAAAATTGATTAATACGCATCGTAAATTATGCCACTCACTTTTCAATCAACAAAATTTAACTTCTCGCGCGATCGCGAATTGCATTTAAAGAAACGAAAAAGGAAGAAAAAAAATATAAATTCTCCTTTTTAAAAGATTACAAATCGATGAAGAAAAACGTAAAGAACAGGGTTTCATCGTGAGCGACGAAAAAAAAAAGAAAAAGAGAAAGAGAAAGAAAGAATCTCACGACGACGACGACGACGACGACGACGACACAACGACGACGACGTTTTATTTACGGAAGTGGATTTCTCTGCGAGAGGAAAAACAAAACAAAATAAAAAGCAAACAAATGAAAACAAAAATAAAATGGATGGACAGATAGAGATAAAGATAGATAGAAAGATAGAAAGAGAAAGAGACAAAAGGAGAGAGAAAGAATGAGTCATGATTCGTTGAATCCTAGAAAAGTTTTGCGAGTGGAAGATCCCATCCTACGTTCAAGGGGAAAAGACTATATCGAGTCCGACATATTCTCAGGGACGCGTTTCACGAAAACTCGTGGAAAAGGGGTCTCTGACGGATTTACGAGGTTGCCGAGGAAAACAAGGATGAGAATACGTCGAACGTGCACCACTCGATGGTGCGAAAATGAAAAGAATGAAAGAAAGAAAGCAAGATAGAAAGAAAGAATGGATAGAATAAAAGGAAGAGAGGAATAGAAGAAGAATAGAAGGGTGAAGTGGGTAAAGGTAGGGGTAGGAATAAGAAAGAAGAGGATAGATGAAAGGAAGGATCGGTTGAGGGGTATTGGTAAGGGTGGGCTGATGGTTTAAAGAGGAAAGTGCATCCGGAACATGCGGGATGAAAGTGGAAACGTAAGCGGAAGGGGATCGGGGGGTTAGAAATGTTACAGGGATGGGGTATTGGGGGAAAAAGGTTCGACGAATCGGCCCGTTGAACGTATACCTAAGTATCGTTTCGTTCCTTCGTGTCAAACGTTTGAAACTTGTGCACCCATATTCGCGGTAAAGCTTTAATGTAAGCCCCCACTATGACGTAGTAACAGCAACACACAACCGAGCTTTCGAACTTTCCCGTACGGATGCAATATTTCCAGCCAACTCTACGAAGTCGATACGTTTTGAACACATATCTATAGATATAGTAAT